CCAATATTCGTCACTAACAAATGCGACTTTGGGGCAACCTTGGTTAAGGTCCGCAGGTGCTTGTGTTCGACTGGACCTGGTTGACGCCAGGATAGCGCACTAAATTGCCATTTGATAGAGATGGCCACACAGTCCTGTCATGTAGTCCCGAACATGAATATGGCCTCTGTTGCAAAAAGCACTATGTGTAAGCACTTAGTCTAGTACTTGCAATTTGCACATTAAAAAAAGTCAGGAGAGACAATTGTTACATTCAATGTCCGTAACTGTTGCCCTGGAACAAAAACATTTTTTATTTCTCTTTCATATCCAAGTTCAAGTAAAGTTAATGTTTCCAGTATCATTTATTATAACACACTTTCTAAAAATGTTTTCATGGTGAGAAATTAAGATACTTTACAATTTATCATACTTTCCTGGTTATAAGCCTTTCCCTGGGTAAAATGCCGAACATGAAACCTGGTCATTGGACATTGTTTTCCTTTTCAGGATATAAACAGTGTTCATTGAGACATTTGTGAGTTGTGAAAAAACAAAAGTTTGTAGCAGCAAGAATTTAAATTGTTAAAAGATTATTTTATATACCCAAAATTATAAAGCAATATTATACATCTTTCATCGTAATGCCATAAGTTACAGCTTGCAGTAATTTTGCGGTGTTGCACTGGGTATTTTCATCCTACCATATTAGGAAATGTGAATTCCGAATATGGAGGGTTTGTGTGTGTGAGCGTCCTCACAAACATGGCTGCTACCAGGGTTTGACCGTACTCCACATAAACAAGTTCGCTGATTCTGTTCTAATCTTTTTGGATTTTGACATTCCCATGATGTATCCTTGGGAGGAAAAGATGTATAATAATAAGGTTATTAGAAGGATAGTGCAAAGTATGCACTCAGACAGTATGCCGTCTTATCGACCTCTGCTGCGCATTGGTCAATACTGCCGCTGTACTGTTTTTGTGCATACTTTTCGGTATCCTCATAATAATCTGAACAAACACTACCTAATGTAAATAAATAAAAAGCTTACTAACAAATGGTATTATATATGTATTATTAAAAAGTACCATCTCAAATAACATAGTTCATCCTTTTTACCTGCAGCTGCAGTGTCAGTATCAGTTTTTATTCTCCGCCTTGCCTTTGGTCTCAAACTAAACTTTGATACTCTATAAACTTTTTCGCCAGGAAAACATCCTGTTGTCTGAGCTTCAGGTTCAGAAAGTAATCTTCTCAGTGGTGTCTTTGGCGGAATTGATTGTTGTTTTATCAGAATCTCATTAGCTCTAGAAAATAACAAAGTGTAGAGATATACATTTTATTGTGAAACAATGGCTGCCGCTGGTACA